TACTGGGGTGCCATACCAAACATTAGGGCAGAGAAAAGCAATGTCATGACACCCAAGAAGAACGATACTTTCTCGCGCGTGCGAACAACCTTGGCGCTCTGCCATGACGCTGCTAGCTTCGTCATACGTGCAGACACCTGGCATTTGGAGATACGCGTCAAAGCCGACTAACAATAAGCTAAATCAAGGACGCGTACCTTGACTTTGAAATTCTTGATCTCACGGTCGAAGTTTTCTGCCAACGCGTCACCAGAGAAATCTTTCAGTTTGAACTTCGTTTCTTCCGCCTTCATCTTCAGTCTATCACTATGCTTTTGTAACCGCCGCTGAAGGAGATCGACATGTGAGTCGAAATATGTCTCGATGGTGTCTACAGCCACAGGTGTAAAGTGCCACATCTTGAAAAGCGGTAGAATGGATATCGTACCAAGCAAGGTAAAAGCACTGGCCCAATCTGAAGCTTCTTCGCGTATAAACCGTTCAAATGTAGTATGAGGGGTGGCAAAGTAGCCTTTGTTCATCAGTTGTGGTGAAGGTGGCCTGGACATTGTCAGATTGCGACTGTGAAATGGCCAGACAGTGAGGAGGTCGTGGTTGCCAGCTGTGGGCGACTGGGCTCATTCTCCGAATACCTCGTTACGTAACCAATCATGAAACAAGTTGTGCCAAGGCCATATTTAGCGCTCTACGATCACATTCCTCGGCCTTCATTCTGATATTATCTCCTGTTCATTATGTTTGGCAAGCTAGGCATGCTCTACCCACTCACTGCTCACTGCAGCTCATAAATGCAGCGCTCAGTTCACCTCGGCTTTGATGCCCTCCTTATTAGTGCTTTTCTGGCGGGAATCAGGCGCACGACCAGTCTGACGTGCGTTCAACCTTGATCTCGTGTCCCAAATTCAAACATTGCTTTATCAGACCGGCGCTGGGGCAAATTCCCAACAAAGATATTCGCCGTAAGGACGCATACTCTTTGATATACCCACTTTGATCATGTGCATGAACTTACAGAACTACTCCGGAATTATCTGGAATTAGGTATCAAGTGTCTCGAACCACATTCCATCCTTCTAACATTAGCCAGGAGAATACATTTTTGACTTCGCAATTGTTATCTGCGGGGTGTGTATAGCTTGCCTTTAATCCATTTGTCGACTGAATACGCGCAGCGGTCGTCCTCATTCGAACGGAGACGGTGAAGACCTATAGCCGTAATACTATATTCCGAATACTGTACAACTCTCGCTTCCCTTCACAAGGATGCGATGCCGGACTCTGTAGTACTGGCCTGTGGTATATGATACAAGTCGGTGTCACTACCCAAGGAAATTGTACACGAAGAAGTGAAGTATGATGGAGCCCAACGCGAAATCTCCAAATGCTCTAGTACATTTCATTGACACAGATGTTATATTTATTTGAGTATACATAATTGCATACCTTTCTGGAGAGACATCTTTGAACTCATTTTTGTTCTCTGGATTGACTTGTGAACGCATTGAAGCGGTAAGAACAAATTGGCCGACGGTACTGGCAAAGCTAAGGTGCGTCATCGTTGATGAAACGTGCGACAAATCATATGCCAACTCACCCAGCCAAAAAAGCGTTGAAAGGATAGTTAGTTACCAGGACGCAGTACAGGAACTGCGCAATGCCAGACAGCATCAAGAAAAATAGAAACGCGTCGATAAACTTTAAGCGATCAGGAGTGTCATCGCTGTACGCTTTCCAAAGTGTCCGAGCGACATTTGCTGACGCTGGAGTCGATGACTTGGGAGCCATTTTCGAACAAGGATATCGCGAAGTGCAACGTGGAAATGGTCGACGTTTGGGGCCGGGAAGCCCTTGCCAAATACTCGCAAACTAATTTTCACAAATTCGCTCCGAAAAAAAAGTTGACGCCTTGGGTGGTTGAGCAGTCCGCGTTTCCGACAACATAATGAGCGGCTTCAGCCTACGGTTAGCATCCTCAAACATTCCAAGGTGCTCTTTGACAATTCTCCGTTCGAGAGTGTCGCGAAGCATACACACGAGACGCTCCCTGCCGTACCCAATCGAAGGTGGCCTTGGTAAATTCCTGCCCCCGGAGGCCTTAAAAGTGGTTGCTGTTGACTATCAAGAAGGGTTGTTGAAACGCTTGAATGAGGAAGTTCGTGGTATGTAAATTAACCTCGTCTTTCCAATCGCCAACTTTCCTTCTTGGTAGGTTCTCCGGAAGCAGCAGAAACTATTGCACAGACCGTGATCAATACCGCAACTCGTGAACAGGGAACGCTAGCATTCAACTACGCTAGTCTTGCTCTTAACAATGACTATTTCTTGGACCAGCTGGTACGTATACCTCCTCACAACACTCCAAAAAGCTTCATAAATTCTCAACATCTACGCGTAGCGACCTCCTCCAACGGAAGGTGAATCAAAAAATCACCAAAATAAAATAGGACAGCATCTGGCAACGAGCATCCGCAACCAATACGGTACCTTGGTCCAACTGAAATCCGCCTTTTCTTCCGCTGTTATGGGTATGTTCACCAGCGGTTGGGTGTGGTTCGTCACCGACCGCAGTGGTCGTCTGGGTATCATCCCCACATTTGGTCCCGGCACGTTGCTCATCCGTTCTCGCTCGTATATGGGCTACAACGATGATGATAAGGCTGTTCTCGGTTCTACACTCTTGCAACAAGATTCTACTATCCCTTATGAGCATGACGGTTGGGATGCCTACACAACGAATGCCAGTGTGGAAGAGATTGATATGGATTTTGAGGACGACACACGACCTCTGCGCTCACCCACCGGTTCACCAACTTCTCACACCTCTCCTTATCCGTCGTCCCCTGTTTCTGGTGTTACGGGTGGGAGGCAACCGCCTGTATCTCCTAACGCTCTTCATCCGCGCTTCCTCTCTTCCACTATCTCCCGCACCGACGATTTCTTGGCAAAAAAGCGCAGTTCAGTCTACAGTGTCTCAACAAGTGACACTTCTTCCCGGCCGAAGCCTAATAGAGATACCTCAGACTTATTGCAACTGGGCGAGACGCTTTACCCTTTGTTCTGCGTATCAGTTTACGAGCATGCATGGATGGCAGCGGGATATGGCGTTTGGGGCAAGGAGGCGTGGTTGAAGGAGTTTTGGACTGTGCTCGACTGGGAGAAGGTTAGCAAAGCATACGCGAAAGTTTATCCAGATAGGACTACATCATAGCTTTACATATTTTTACATATTTACTAATTGCACCTCCACATCTGCGAATGTGTTTTCTTACAATGTCAAAGAAACATCCCTCTCAAAGGCCGCTTCATGAGGGAGTGAAAAATACTGACAACGCCAAACCATGGAAATGCTCTTGCGTGTGATTGGTCTTCAGATAATTTAAGTACTTCATGAAATGTCGACGCATGTACAAGCCTAGTCCGTTGTTATTTCAGGTGTCGCTATGCCGCCTAAATCGTCTTTGCTTTGACTGAGGGCAAAATTCTGCCACTTTGCGCCACTGCGAACCCAACCGGAGAATGCTCCGTCCTTACCAATGAGCTTTTCTTTCGCCGCTTGGTAAGACATCATGGACATTTTCGACTCGTGATATGTCGAAGATGGACTTCATATAGTCAACAAAAAGAGTCAATCTGTATGTCAAGTACAGCGACTCACTTGAGAGGTGGAAGTTTCTGGGCTTCCAGTATCCGATTGTACAGATGGAGCATCGCTATTCTAGATGTGGATGGTCTGGTAACATATGTATCAGTGGAATAATGACTTCCGGACGTCGGCCGATAATACCTTGATTTCTCCCGAAAACGATGTTTTGGGGACACGCCGCGTTTAATGCCATTGATGAGGAACTCATGTGGGAATGTATCTGCTACCCAGGAAAGGGCTTTTCGAGGACTGCTAAATGCTCGTGGTAAAAACCAAAAGCAGAAGATTCATACCTTCGTTACAAGATCCACGAGAAGGCTGAACCGTTTCGATCACGGTGCGCGAGTGAATAAAGGGTTGATCAGTAAACACGATTGCCGGGACGTGGATGCTGTATCCAGGTGGCCAATCTGCAAGGTTGTTGAGTGACGCATTTTGTCCTTGACGCTCGAGTGGTATTCACCTTCCGAAGACCCAATTCTCTTCCACAGCGCGCGGTCACAGTCTTCCCTAACGATGTCTCGTACATCGAGTGGAACCTCGCCGATAACAATCGAGGAAAGATAAAGTGGTTCAATGAAACGCGTCGCCAGTGCGCCTTGGAAGCCTAGGACGCTCCATGAAGCAATTTTATCACTGCAGGCCATACACATCGTCGAAGGCGAATCAGCACGCCCAGGTTTCGTTCGAAGCACGCCTAGGCGGGCATAGTTATCGCGGCCTCTTGAAGTCTCGTTTTCACCAAGAGGAGCGAAAATTGATGAGTTTTTCAAGGCAGCCATTTCTCTATCCTGGCCCATTGCCAAGATGCGCATGGACGCATCGCCACCTTAGGAAAACGCGTATACAAGCAGAGTGAACATTTTGATTATGAATTATGATGGTAATCGCAATCTTACAAGGAGGAGTGGATATATACAGACAAATGTGCACACCTTCCTTGAGTTTGAACCTCTCGTTCAACCTACGTTCAATCCAAGGTGACTCGTATGCTCCAGAACAGTCGGACGAGGAGCGCAAGACTTCAAGGAGGAACCAGCGGATCGCTCCACGTCGTGCGAGAATTTCAGCGTGGTTGTCTAGGAGAGCTTCACCTTTTAACGGGTATCGAGAGGTAGGGAGACACTTTGTGCCGGTAGCGATGCTTATTACTTTAGGTGATGTGGAAGCGGAAAGAAGGCAGAAGGAGGCAGCGACTGTATACTGGCCAGAAGGGGGTTGATAGGAAAGACCGGAGTAGGTGTTTAGGATGGAGGCGACATCGTTATCACGCATTGCAAAAAGGACTGAATGTTTGAGGGGGGTGACTTTATTTACAGGCAAAGGTGATATATTCTTGTATCCCAAGATTAACCATCCGACCTTAGCTCAGTTGGTAGAGCGCGAGACTGTAATTGGATATATCTTGAGGTCGCCTGTTCGATCCAGGCAGGTCGGATTTTTGGCACGTAAAACAAAATGCATGGTTCCTTGTTAACTCAAGCTTGACTTTTTTTTAAACCAGTACTGTAGTGTACTTTCGGGACATCCAGCATTCAAATATTCAAAATTCGATTGGTAGGTAACCAACGGATCATCTTCGGCGCGGACCTCCGACCTTCTCGCATGCTTTGGGAGCTCAAAGCTTTCATCATGTCTTTTGTCCCCGTGGTTATAGAACGATATACTAAGTAC